CCTCCTCTTGTGTATTATGTTATGGCTGCTGGATTGGAGGTAGTGCACCAAGTATAGGAATGAGCCACACACAAACTACCTATGATTCATTGGGGTAGCCAACTTGGCTCAGGTGGACAGTTATTTTGACCTGTGGGAATCAGGACATTGTACAACATATTGATTCCTGTCACATAGGCCTTGCAGGGCTTTCATCAAGTGAATAAATGCTCACTTATTATATCATGATATAATAAGTGAGCGTCATGGTGTAATAAGTGTAGTAATGCTGAATGCCTTTACTCTCTTACCATTTCATCAAGGGGGGTTCAAGTTGGTGATGAAAAGAAAATGTGCCCTGAAAATTAACAGGGAGTTAATGTCTGCCCTCCAAATTTGTACAAAGCTTATGTGGATAAGTGACCAAAACAGTCACTAGAAGGCTTTAGAGATACCTGTTGTATATTATTAAATGAATGAAAGGGGTAGTAATGCATTTTTAAAAGTGACAATTTTCTATATAAAGAGAAAATTTGGGTCAGGATTTGCATAGCCATATGCCAAACAGTTTTCATCGCATTTTGACAGGGGGGGGGGGGGGTGGGGAGGTGTAACATTTGAGGGCAAGATGTGGGTGTGTGCTAGCTCCTGGTGGCTTTAACATGGGCACATAGGGTATGATGTTACTTAATTGGTTGTATGTAGTGTGGAAATTAAGAGACACAAATGTAGATTGTTTACCTTGATGAACTTTATCAACATTATCAAGAGACAAGAGCTTGATCATGAAAGTATAGAAATATCATGAATGCAGGGCTTTTGTGTACTAAGGCATAAGACAGTTAAATGCAGTGCTAAAGTTCATATTAAAGCTGTGCCTGTTATGACTGGTTAAAGATCAAATCAGTTCATACTTTCTGCGTGTTTGATTGCAATGAGCTCCTGTGGATGGACTTTTAAGTGGGACACTGTGTTAAATACTGACATACATTTTGACCCAATCAAACTGACATAATCAGTTTGCTTTTTTCAAAGATCTAGGTCTAGACACTGCCAAGCTCAGTACCTGGAGTCAGGGCCTAGCAATGTCCCATTCCCAGAGAGTTCAGCTCATGCTGCAGTATGAAGTATCGATCATTGTCATCGCATTAATTAATATGCCAAGCATAACCCTGTTGTACTCCATATCTGCTTATCACACAAGACCCAAGTAACATGACTTTGCCAACCAAAGCATTGAGATCACGCCTCAACTGTACTGGACCGCTACAGCATCGTCCCCTTGCATCATTCTGTGATTTCTCATTCTGATTTTGAAGTTGATGTTGGTCTGTATGACATATGGCAATTTGGAGCCCTTGCATTTGGTGTGCTTTTGGAAAAGCAGTTGCATGGGAAAGATAGTGATATTTGCTGTTTACAAGCAGCTCCCACCAGCTTTGCTGCACCAAGGGTCATCGATGCTGGCAGTGATGCCACCTGTGATGTCATGTTTACTTGTGTTGCGATAATTTGAAGCCAATCCCATGTAGCGCAGTTGTGTAAGTTGTTAAACACTTGTGAATCACACGGACACATTGATCATACAGCACTGTTCCAGCACTGTTCTTCGCACTCAGGGCATCTAAAAGATCTCATCTAGTTGTAGTCCCTGCTCGCTTTATTGCTCACATAGCTAACACCCTTGGCTCTTTGCTGTACGGACGGCGGAGCTACAAGGACACCAAAGACGTCTGTATAGCATTAACCCCAGCCGCATTTCATAGCTCTGCTTCTCAATAGTGTTTAGCCGTCTTTTTTCTTACATTCCAGCGCATGCATCGACTGGTATTGTCCGGCGTGTGTGATGCTGCCGCATCGTTTCTCTAGCTTGGTGATATGTTTTTAACGATTTGGCCTTTGCGCAACGCGTTTCCCTTACATATAAGAACGAATGTCACCTTTTCAAATATAAAATACGTTCCCTCGCGTGTCCGCTGTGGTCGGCGGCGGTATCGGCCGGGCCTGAATTTACGTCTTAGATCATAACGACGATGAAATTCGTACGCTCAAAGGTCACGGTAATCTGCGCAGTCGTCTTTGCTGTGCATTGCCGTCTCACTAGCTCCGATGGCTACTGTGCGTGCTACCACACATGGTGGGGTGGGGTCGAGTCAGTTTAGGCACTCGCTAATTAGTCCTTCACAGATATGGTTTTGGGCCGGTGGCGACGGCCGCTCTTGAGGTCAAGCGACGTCAGAGGGCAGGACGGGTCGTGTCAACCAAAACAGAACGTTAACCTTTCAACTCCATATTCTGCTTTTGATCTGGAACTGAGCGATCGGATGGAAGGGATCAGGACTCACACAGCAAGCGCTGTTTAGGGTGAGCGCCGGTTCCAGAAATCCCTTCATTTTGTCTAAGGTTTGGATTATATATTTTTTAACGCGGGCCGACAGACAGCCAAACGTTCTCTTTGATACATGTTCAAACGTACGAGTACGTATGCGACAGACGATACATGGCATACGGCACATGTTGCTCTTCCAAGCGAGGCAACGACTCATTTAATGCATCCACTGGGCAACCTTTATGTTGTGTGCAGACGAAGCTTTTGCTTCAAAAACTTATACCCGTCATTATCTCTTCTGCAAAAACCGAAGTAGCTATTGCTTATGCACGGTATTACATCTGCCGCAACGACTTAACCGGACATTAGTATTGAAACAGAGACTTGTGGTGGAGACTCTTGTAGAAGTATTGTCTAGTATAGGTTTTTGCAGCATAAGCTGCGCATTGTAGCACCGATATCCCGCATGAGCTTTTGGAGCAGAAGTAATGCTGCGCAGAAGTGGAGACCGGATAAGTTGTTGCACCGGGTGTTATGATGCGAATAAGTTTCTGGGGCATAAATTGTGTTGTGTAGCACTGGTGTGGCTGATAACTTGTTTACAGCAGAAGCATCGTCACATATAAGTAAAGTCTGTATAAGATTTTGCAATGGAAGTAATGTCGCGCATGACGGATGCTGTAGTTCGCCTGTCCGTAGGAGTTTTTGCCTTGGCACAAATGTCGTGACACCTCGTGAGTGGTAGCATCTCGTGATGCAGCGTCGTGAGCGGTGTCATTACAGGGATCATATGATGTCATCGGAGCGAATGAATTAAATGAAATGAATAAATGAAAAGAATAACAAGGCATCAAGATTTTAGTTGCCTGCAACTTAATTTTTCGCGGCTTCCCAGTAGAATCAGCCTACTTTGCTCATGTGTCGTCATAAACCAGATGCAGCGGCTCTCAAAATGTTGCGGATGAATCGAAACCTTCAAACATCTTTTTCGCCTTGCAACGCCACATGGGCCATGATAAAATTTTCTCCGGAGCTGGAGAGTAGGTCCCAGGTGTTGCCGAAGTAGGTGGCCGCCATCGCTGCCCCTCACCGGTTCCCGTTCACCCGTCGTAAAGCGAATTCCGTAGCCTTTTGTAGACAGTATCAGTCGAGGCGACATGCCTAGTGCGTATATGGTCAACTCTGCATTAATTGAGTGATGCCCCTCCCGGAAGTGTAGCCGTTAGCATGCCAGTCTCATGTCACGATGGACCATAGCTGCAGTCGTTTCAATTAACATCACCGCAGGAGGCTGATTCCTGTCCGATGTGTTGAATTTTCTGGTAGGGCTGGGAAAACCGCGCTGTCTGCCGCTGTAATACTTTGTGTGCCGGTTTTAAATTCCCGGTACTATTAGGTGACAGACAGAGACAAACTCATAACAGTATGGCACACTTCGGTGGCTGGCTCGGTGCCAGACAGCGAACTGTGCTCGGCCAGCAGGGTACGACAAATGCCACATAAATAAGAGCATAACCAAAGAATATCAGTGCCGTGAGGAACTTCCGATGCTGGATGTGCCAAAAATGGCATCGTTTTCGTGTTGTTCTAGAGGGCAAGATGTGCAAGCTGTGAGCATAAAAATATGGGATGTGCAATCGTCCGGTTTTGTTCGTCTCGTGAAATATTCGCATTCGTATTTTATCGTCGTCATGAAAGGTCGTTTTCGAGCTGCAAGTGGTTTGATAAGGTTGGAGGCGCTTGTTGGAGCACCCTGTGCGCCGTTGCTTACTGTCAACTGCTGTTTCAGGCAAGACAACGAAAACATGATGGAGATTGCTGAGAATACTGGCGCACAAACACCAATAAAGCCACAGCAGTAAGTTCACGATACGATGTATTGTCCTGTTTTGGAAACCGTCATATGCGTGCATGAGCCGTAATTGTCCCCTGCAATTTTGACCTAGTCATCATAAACGGCCTCTTCATACCTCTGTTGGATCAGATGATAGCATAAGAAGTGTCTGTTATCCACGCTGCTGTTATTTTGGCTGCGTATATATATATATATATATATATTATATAATATATAAATTATATATATTCGAGTGCTTAAGCAGTATGCTTTCATCAATGTCAGGTTTGCTATATGCAAGGCCAAATGTACATTAAGTCAGGTTCTTGCGCGTTTGCTCGATTGTTCGAATGAAATCGTTCGTGTTTTCGGTAAGTCACAACTCAATTCGCCTATAATTGTTTATATTAGTATTAGTTTAAGCTAGCTGACATTTCTTGAACACTCGCTCCTCATTCACAAAGCAATGTTAGACGGCCGGACGGACAAAACATTCAAATTTGGTGAAATACGAGACGTGAGGCATACCCTTTGGTGAACCACCAGTTAACAGATTATGCAACAGAACATCCTGCCAAATTACAAAACCCATTCAACACACGCACATCACTTTTCCAGCCAGTTTGATACAATGGAAAGTTAAAGGTATCGAATCACCCCGCTGTCATTGGGTGACTGAACAGGTTTAGAGTGATGCATGACCTAGGCTGCTTGTTTAAGTGAGACGTTCTTTCTTTGATGAGGATGACTTCGAGAACTTGTAAAGGGCGTCTGTTTGGACATAACTTTAGAGTCAGTGTGTCTTCAGCCAGGTCGGAACGTAGGAGTTTTTATTGTGGGTCCTGCGCGTATGCTGGTCTAGCGCTCCCCCTGCAGGTACGTTGCATGCGTCGTGATAGAGCTGTCGTAGTCATTCCAATAAAGGTGGAGTTGCGGAGCCGGTAGTGTCCGTACGGGTGTTTTAATTCTATAAATTATATCTAAATCGATAAATCTCTTAAATTATAAAATTATCTATAAAAGGCCGCGAGGGGTTATTGCGCTAACAACACTGGTAACAGTTCACACTTGTGCTGACAGTCGCTTTGGTAGTTAAACCGATGCCAAAAAAATGATCTAAAACATTCCGATATATACTGCGGTATGCAGCCAAACCTGGAGAGTCCGGTCGGGCCCCGTCCCTGCTGTGTCACGCTGTGCGTGTGCGGTATGGTCTGCCTTTGCGTGTTGCGCGCCTTGGCGTCTGCTGCCCGGTTCATGTTGGCCCGTGTGGCGGGCGGTCTGCTGCCCGGTCCGTGTGGGCCCGTCTGACCGGGGTGTCTGTTGTCCAGTATGTCTGACCCACTCGGCCCGTCTGACCGGGTCGTCTGCTGCCCAGTCCGTGTGGGCCCATCTGATCCGGTGTCTGCTGCCCAGTCTATCTGACCCGCTCGGCCCGTCTGACCGGGTCGTCTGCTGCCCGGTCCGTGTGGGCCGTCTGGTCCGGTGTCTGCTGCCCGGTTCGTGCGGGCCCGTCTGACCGGGCTGTCTGCTGCCCAGTCTGTCTGACCCGCTCGGCCCGTCTGACCGGGTCGTCTGCTGCCCGGTCGGTGTGGGCCGTCTGGTCCGGTGTCTGCTGCCCGGTCCGTGTGGGCCCGTCTGACCGGGCTGTCTGCTGCCCAGTCTGTCTGACCCGCTCGGCCCGTCTGACCGGGTCGTCTGCTGCTCGGTCCGTGTGGGCCGTCTGGTCCGGTGTCTGCTGCCCGGTTCGTGTGGGCCCGTTGACCGGGCTGTCTGCTGCCAGTCTGTCTGACCCGCTCGGCCCGT